AAGTTTGAGTAGTTGCTGCAAGACCTGAAGGTGGTAAGTCGTATCCTCGGTGGATTTATTGATGGATGTTTCTGAAGAGCTCCACACTGGGAAAAAATGGCTGTCCAGTGGTTGTCTAATTATGATCAGTCCATGATGTGAACTAAAATACAATTATTCATTGGCGTATTTGCTAAGTCTGAGTATAAGTTTCTAAACACTGAAAAGCAGTTCAAATCCATTTTAACTTCAAAATATGCGTGAATTAATGCGTTTACTTTACAAATTCCATCTTAGTTGGTAATCAATGTCAAGTTGTCTAATCCCCAGTGATACAATTAATCTAATATAATGTGTTTGCAGGCAATCTAGAACGTTTCCTAAACTTAAGTTTTACGTACATTGTTGGCATAATGAGTCCAAGTGAAATAGAAATACGTATCTTGGTCATTTTGAAACTTCATGAAAACGTGCATAGTTCAAACGATTTTATTTTGGTTTATTTAGGTTTACTGTTAAAAAGGTATGATATTAAGGCAATTTGAGTAGCGCTGTGCATCTTGTCTCTATTGACGATAGAGTTGTCATAATAATAAGGACAGTAGCAATACTGTGAATAATACTAACACTACTACTACTACTACTACTACTACCACTAACAATAATAATAATAATGATAATAATAATAATTGGAATAACAATAATAGTAATAATCACAATGATAATGATAACTACGATTAATATCATTAATGTTACAAAAGTTATTATTAAATTCCATTTCATTATCTTTATTCTCTTCTCACTCAACTCATTTTGTGAATTTATGTTTTCTACTACTTGATATTGTTCAGTAAACAGTTTCATTTGTAAGCGAAAATGGATGGTGGATAGCAGTGGAATCCAGGATGCGCATTTCGTCTTATTTGGGAGTTGTCGGCTGGATATAACTGCATCCTAGAGTCAAACCCAATGGCGTTGTCTTCAGACGTCATCGTGTTATCCATATAGCCAGTTAGTCCTTAAAATCCACTTGCCTGTGCAATGGGGTGAAATATATATTTCGTCCGTACATGATGCACGTATGCCAAATGAGACTGACCAATTGCAGTTCTAAACATCAATGGGAACATTCAAACAACCAATACAAAGCGAAGTTTCATTTCTGACAATTTCTAAACGCATAGTATACGTATTGAGTATTTACAAAAATTAAACTTATTCACTGTGTTTATTATTGTAACTACTCTCGTTCAACGGTTGCAACTGATATTTCGAGTAAGTATAAAATCCTTGGGTATTTTTCCAAACACAACAACTTCCATATTAGTGAGCTTTCATTTCCTATGTTGAATGTTGATTGTTGTTATTGACATAAAGCATATATCAACTGTAATTTACACTATCATATGTTGTATTTAATCATTATGTTATCATTACAGGAAAGCTTATTCCTTCTAGACGCGTTATTCGTCACATATACTTCATGAGTTGAGATATTTTACCACTTTATATACAATCTTTATTTATGGAAGGTATTTTCTTAAAATGAACAGTTGTTTTTGAAATTCACTTTCACGCGTATCTCAACTATGTACTTGAAAGCTTCGATTGATCTAATAATATCAATGATGATTACGATAATCAGAAATGTTGCCCAATTACTGACAACAGGTTTTGTGAACTCAGATTTCAGCCCTATGTTTTACGTGTCAGTTAGTGGCATTACCCAGCTACTTCAACCTAAATAGTTGGGACAGTGTTCGAGGTTGTAATCTGATGGTTCAAGGCCAGGATCTTTCGCCCGGTAAACCAGTACTCTTCAATTGCTTGTGTTATTTACGCTATTGTACATAGCTGATATGATTCGAGGAACTAACAGTTCGAAAATATAAATTACGAATTTTTGTAGTCAGTTTCGCTCGATATATAACAGCTCATTGGCCTAAGACCTGACTCCATGTTGATTGCTTCTGATTGTTATCGAAGTGTTCATATCCCTTATCCTTAAACGGATAATTTACAAGGTCAAAATGTGGCCTGGGGAGAATGAGTAGATCGCTCTGTCCAGAGGTTAAAAAACCTATGAGGGCTTGACTTATTACCAGCCCCTGCAACATTTATAAATGTACCGATCATTGTTACAATTGAAGTAGTCAACCACAATTATCTTTTGATGGGGGAATTGGATGTTTATGTGAAACAGTTTACGGCCTATGCTCCATTTGGAGTAACAGGCGTAAGTAAGTAAGTGAAACGGTTTATGCATTTTACATAATTGTGCGCTTTATTCGCAACTCCAACACCGTGTAGTCACATGTGTTCAGGTCCTTCTTCTATGTTCAGACTCAGATCCTCTCCTAGACGGTAGAGTATGTTTCTATAAGATCTGATCATTTATGTCACTAGGTACCTCTAATTATTTTGAGTATTCTACAAAGTCATCACGACAATTTTAACAAATCCATGTTTATAATAATTTCAACAATAATCCTGATAAATGTGTGAATTAGGCAGATATAAATGAGATAATCAGTCACTTGTAAATCGTGTCCAGTTGTGGATAAATTATTTTCTGTTCTACATTATTTAAATTTCATTACAACATTATTAAATTTTAAACGTAGTTTTCATATTACTTTATTTCATCATAAGTAGCTTGTAGAAACTGAGAATAGATATATATCTCGGATTAACTATCTTGTCAAATCACACATGTGATTGCAAGAAGTGTGAACGAACTACGTCGTGTAGTGAGTGGGAAATTCAAAGGGATTTAATACAATTTGAGTCAGACTCAAGTATGAAAATTCACAGAGATATAGGAACAAAAATGAGGTGTACCTGAGAATAAAACGTAAATTCCAAGGTGATACAATCATTTACTTACATAAAATTTCCACCACTTCCAGAGCTTCCCCATCAAGTGTGATTGTGTTGGAGTTCTCTGTGTTGAATTTGAGCATCTAGCTTTTCCCCATGTATATGTTTGTGCCTACTGTTGCAAAGGCTGTTGCTACATTGTTTGTCTTGATCTGCATTTGCTGATATGTGTGGGATAGAAGGATCAGATCATCTGCGAAGTCCTAATCGTTTAATTGCATCCAACCAGTCTACTGTATTTCGTGCTCCTTCTCAAATGTCAAGGTCTCCATAATCCTATCGACCATCAGATGAAAGAGAAAGAGGGAGAGTAGGCAGTCTCGTCTGACTTCATTCCCCACTTGCGACGTGTCCGTCAGCTGTCTTCCGTGAAGATGTCTGCAGTGTAGTCCGTCGTGTGAATTCCATATGGTGTTAAAGATCTTCTCAACTACTCAATCCATAGTGTCGAGGGATATTTCACGAGATTCTCGTATCCACACTGGGAAAAGCTTCTTCATAATCAAGGAAGTTGATGCATAGTGACAAATTTCACTCAGTTGATTGTTCAACAATGATCCATAATGTCACTACTTTGTCTGTGCCCTACCGATTCAAGATTGTTTCATAAAAAGCAGTGTTATCTTCAACTGGAACGGCTAGTTCCATGGAATTCGTTATATTTCAATGCATTTATGCCTGGCGCCTCACGTGGTTTGTGACGAAGTACGGAAAATATATATTGAAATCGGAAGGTTCGTTTAGTGTAGTATAGTGAAGTGTTGTTTATGCTTAGTTTAGTTAGAAGAATCAAAATACAATATATTTGATAATGTGGAATAGGTGATTAGTTGGAGTGAGATTGTGGAAGCTGTGTGCAGAATGATTGTACTAACTTAGGAATTCCCGGAACAATGAAATTTAGACTAGACAGGATTAGATGAGCACAAACGAACGTATTGGGTTTGGAATTCGTAATAAGCGGGTAATCAAGTACAAAACTTGTATGCAGCTATGTTGATTGAACATATCCGCATGAAATACAATAGGAGTTGACCGCATAAACCAGCATATAATACACTGACCTGTTTTATTGGACTTAGTTACCGTCTACTCATAATAATTCTAAATCATTACGCTTCAATGGTCGTGAATTCTCAAATTCTGTGAACGCGTGCTCAAGAATTAAAGCATCAGATGGTGCAATCAGATTAGCAGTAAACTGATAAAGTAATATTTGGTATCATATGAATTGGAAGATGGCATAAATTTTCTAGATGAATTCATTCTCGAAACGAAAATGACTCAATGAACATTCATGAATTCCAGTGTGCATGCAATCAGCGACAGTAGATCTTGAAACCCCTATCTATAATTGAAAAACGGAACCTCTGAATACGGCCTAGTTTATTAAAGCGAGGTAGTAGAAATCTGTTAATTCAGATGGAACAAAAATGAACGGAAGAGTATTAGATTTCTCTTGTACTTAAAGAGATTCATCACTGGCAAATGTCTTAAAATTGAAATAACTATATTATAATGATAATAAAATATACAGACAACAAATTATTGTGTTTTGTTGTCAGCTGCACTATGAAAAGTATAATCATAACAAATGTGTATCTTACAGACAATTTAGTGAGAGGGAAAGTACTGAACCATAAATCAAAGGAGTATAATGCGGATATATGGAGTCACGAAATCTTCAGTGATAAATGATGAGTTACATAAGCTGTACCTAGTGAAGTAATTCTGAAAACTTATCTCGAATGAAAAGAAAGAAATGAAAGGAGTAGTAATACTGGAGTTCGTAGTAGTCGTGGTAGTAGACGAAGAAATATTAGTAATAGTGAGGGCAGTATTATTATTTGTGAAACTATTAGTAGCATTGTAGTGTATGCTACTTGTGTCGATAGACCTAAGTAGTATGTAACGCCAATCAGAAGTGGAATACCTGGCAATAGAAGACTGAGATTATCGAATTGAAGAGAACAGGAACGTAGACGGAGAGTGATTATAGTAACAACAAAAATAAAGGAATGATGAAGTTTCGAAGAGACAACTGATGGAAGATGTGCAAATGAAATATTTGATGTACGATTTTTGTATTTTACGGAGACATTCTGTAATTTCGCACAGAGTAATAAGTCTTCGTTCACTACAGCAGTAGAAGTAATAATAAATGCTTGTTTTAATAGTATTAGTTATAGTAGTAGTAGTAGTAGTAGTAGTAGTAGTAGTATTAGTAGTAGTAGTAGTAGTAGTAGTAGTATTAGTAGTAGTAGTAGTATTAGTAGTAGTATTAGTAGTAGTAGTAGTAGTAGTATTAGTAGTAGTAGTAGTAGTAGTAGTAGTAGTAGTAGTAGTAGTAGTAGTAGTAGTAGTAGTAGTAGTAGTAGTAGTAGTAGTAGTAGTAGTAGTAGTAGTAGTAGTAGTAGTAATGGTACTTAATATGAATCTAATTTTCTCTTGATTATCTGTTATTAACTCTGAGTTTATAATCCTTTTTATAAAGTATTTATGAGCATAAAATCATGAGATTTAAGCTTTCTAGTGGTGAAAATTGAACCTCTGTAGTTTCGTTACACACCTACGCATCAGTATTGATTCTAATGAGCTGATGCTTGTGGAACATATGAAAATCGGAGCTAATGAACTATGAAATACTTTCAGACGTCTCATTATTTTTGCACTGATCAGCAAATTCCATATAATTTCATTTGGATATGACAGGCATTGTTTATGTTTGCCATATTTCTTGTTTGCCTTTACTTGGTGACCTCAAAGCAGAAAATTAAAAAGAACTAAACACGTTTACACGTCTCTTCTAATTAACAGTAATAAATAGAATAGAAATCCTTCTATAAATAGGCATCTTAGATCAGTACTGTGAGATGAAACACTTTCAATTCCGTCTTACTAAACTGAAATTTGGATAGGAACTATTGATACGAATTATCATTTTGCATAGGTTATTCATACTTTGTCATTGCAATTCACGAATTACTCCATTGACGAAATTTAAATCAGAAACTTAGAATTAGTGACTGATACATGGTTCATGCAGTTTTCAAACTGAATCAAAATGTCACTTAAATATATTTTCTCTCAGTAGGGCGATAGCAGATCAAGTGCAATAGAGTTCGTTCAAACCTAATTCGGTTAAGCTCTTTTGTTAACTTATTTAACGAACAGAGTTACTCGTACTTATCTATACTATTGTACCTTTATTATTGCTGTGCTTATGTGAATATGTAGGCTTGAGCACTACTTGCTGCCTGCGCACATATTCATTCTGTTAGCTTTAATGTTAGTCACTGAATCGATTTGATGATTCACTCGTTTCCCTATGTATATATATGCACATTTTAATCCTATTCATTTGACTCGTGAACTCGCACGCTCGCTCGCTCGCTTACTTTTCGGCATTAGCCTTTCATTCTCGTTTCGCGTGTCTGTGGTTTTAGTGATCTGTGCGTCGTGCGATAATAAACGCGATCAACACTTCGTACTCGTCTTCTGATTTATACACCATCGTGAACATTAACTATTATCGGTTGTAGGACGAAGTATTTAAAAATGTAATAATTATATCGAATACCAGTCACTTCAGGGCATATGTAAGTCAATGAGTAAGTGTTAACCATTGTCACGTTTTTCCAATCCTTAGTGTTGAATGAACAAAGAATCCCAAAGAGTTAACCACCTGATAGCGGAGTTCGTGAAGTAATTAGTTGGAATACGTGACTGATTAAATTGGTCACATTTAGAAAAGAGTATGTGTCGCTATCGATGTTAGACAGCAAGATACTAAAGAGCAAGAAGCTGTATAATGTAAATGGATACAAAAAATAGTTGAAGTAGTAGAATTGATAGCAGTAGTGATGGTAGTAGTAATGGTAGTAGTGGTATCAGTCTTGTAGCGAACGAATACACCAGTGGGAACAACTAGATGTACTTTGATACTATACAGAATATCTTGCTAAATCTGGAGACCATACAGTAAATGTTTCATTTGCAAAATGTCAATCAGTTGTCTCAGACTTTATTGTATCTTCGTTTTTACACCAATCACTCTCTGTCTTCGTTCCCTTCTCTTTGGTTTTAACCTTCTGCTGCCATGGATTTCACTTCCGATTAATGATACATACTACTTATATTTGTCGACATCAGTTGCGCAGACCACAGTGGTATTAGTATAAATATTAATATTATTAAGATTTTTGGCATCCTAGTGCCAATAGGCGTAGAGATATAAACAGTAGTGGAAGTATTAGTAGTACTGATAATAATTATACTAGCATTAGTATTGATAGTAGTAGATGTATTAGTAGTACTTGTAGTAATAATTGTTGTAGAGCCAATTCAAGTAATATTGATATTTGTATTACGATTAATATTTGTAAGATCAGTAGTTCTTGTGATACTTGTATTTCTAAGTAGCTGTGGTACTAATAGTGGTACAGATATTCGTAATAGTAATGGTAGTGGTAGCAGCTATGGCAGAATAGTAGTAGTTACAGTGTGGTGTATGCTACTTACGCTGACACGTATAAGTAGTATATAAATGCAATCAAAATTGGAGTAGCAACAGGTAGAATATTCAAATCAAGAGAATAAGAAATAAGATGAGGAGTAATAGAGATAACAACACAATTAGAGGAATAGTGGAATATGTGAAGGAGAACGCGATGTGTGAATGACGTGGTGAATGCATGGTTTTCATATTTTACTAACATGCTGTGTTATTAGGTACCAATATTAGTGGTACAAATCTTTGTCATAATAGAATTAGTAGTGTCGGTAGTATTAGTGTGGTGTGTGCTAGTGATATACACGGCTATAAGTTTTATGTATCATCAATAGAAAGTGAAATGCACGGCGGCAGAAGGTTAGGAAGATCGAAGATAAGTGAACGACAACAGAGAGTGTTGGTGTGAAAATGACACTTGAATGACAATTTGAAATGAAGTGTTTACTGTATGGTTCTCAGATTTGTTTAAGTCACATTATGACAACTTAATCTGACTGAGAAGAAACAGGACAATAATCGGTTGAAAGTGCAAATGCTAGCCAATAAATGCTGACTCACTGAACTCAACGGTTTGAGTAGCTCCTGCAAGACCTGAAAGTCCTAAGTGAATAGGACACGCATTTATGAAATCATCAAACTGCATCACTAAGTAAGTGCGATCTTGGAACCCTGAGTGTAGATGGAGATGTTGAAGACCAAAAACACACTCGTCGAGAATTGGAAGAAGACATGAAAATTATCAGTAGCAACTGGAAAGAACCCGAAAGGATTGTTTGGCATAGAGTTGGTTGGATAATGCTAGTGAGCGACCTGTGCTCCTACATTAAGGGTAATAGGTGCAGGTAAATAAGTGTCTATTATTTATTCACGAATATTACCCCCTTGTGATATCCATCTCATTCTCAGTTATACTTAATTTTTCCCCTATATCTCTGTGAGTTTTTATGGTAGTATTAAACTCAAAAAGCATTAGATCTCTCCTAATAACTCAGGCTACTTTTGACATAATCTTACACTAAACACACTACACGACGGAATTCATTCACATTTCCTGCAATCACTAAATTTTTCATGTATGTTTTGGCTGCAAAATTGTATGCGATGCATAAATTGTTTCCTCCATCAAAAGATAATTGTAATCGATTACCCTACTACTACTATTAAGTTGATAACTATTTCAGGGGCTTGTACTAAGTCAAGCCCTCACATGTTTTTCTAGCCTCTGGACAGATCGATCTATTAATTCTTGTCAAGCTACATTTTATCAATTATTCTTTTATTAGTCCTGATTGTTTTTTATATGATCACATGTGTGTTCATTTCTTAACTCATTCATCGCGTATCTGTAACTTATTTTTCTTCAACTATAAATATCGATTCATGCTTGATTGAATCGAGATGGCTGATTCGCCTTCTCCATTAGGCGGAACATGCATCCTAGATTCCACTACTAGCCACCATCCATCTTCGCTTAGAAATGAAACTATTTATCGGACAATAGCAAGTAGTATAAATGAACACACACAAAATGAGTTAAATGAGAACAGAATAAAGATGATCTAAGGAATTTAATAATAACTATCGTAACATTAGTGATATTAATACGAATTATCATTGTCATTGTGATTATTATTATTACTGGTATTAGTAGTAATGTTAGTGTTATTACCAGTACTGTTCCTAATGTTGTTATTATGGCAACTCTATCATAAAAAGAGGTATGACGCACAGCGCTACTCAAATACCCTTAACATCATACCTTTCTAATGGTAGACCTGAATCAACTGATTTAGTATAAATTTGTGTACACAGCTGTAATTTAGTGAAGATGAATATTTTTCTAGAAATAGTATAAAGGAATGTATGTTTAACGGTTTGAAAAATTACAGTCAAAGAAGTGGAACAATGTTTCCCGTCTAAAAGGCTTACAGAATGAATATTTATCTTACTCCAAGTTTGTGACAGTGATATTAGTCATTCTATCGTATATATTTTCTACCCCTTAAAATACAAAGTCTTTTTTACCACAAGTTATGCACTAAGTTATGTCTAAAGCTTGTTATTCTTATTTACGCTCTTTATGATCTGTTAAGTTTTTTAAAATATTTAGTCATCAGTTCAAATTTTAAAGATAGTGCTTTCATTGATTGATTAACATCAGCTTTAGGAGAACTAATGAAAAGTATGAAGTACCAAACGACTATCTCACCATACTTTGAAGGCTACTTAGCAGTAGCTACCTGTGTTTTCGCCGAAAGCGGAATATCGTACATTCAGATCATGCACATATATACAAATATTTATTTTGTGATGGTACTAAAACTGCTGGTTTTTCATGCTCTGTTAATTACTTATAAAAACTTTCTTTCAATCCAATTTTTAATGATTTTGGATTATTCCGTTGCAAATGTTTTTCTAGTGCTTGCATATTTGTTACTATCCATATTTTCTATAATTTTCAGTCTTTTATCAAACGGAATATTATCCATTATTTCCAGTTGCTATTTATTATTTTCATGACTACTTCGGATCCCCAACGAGTGTGTTATTTGGTTATCCTCATATCCGTTTACACTCAGGATTCCAAGCAAGCACTTGCCTAGTGATTTTGTCAATGTGTGTCCTACTCACGTCAAACGTTTTTACATAATTTCCCCCTCAGCTGGACGTTCGTTTGTTCTCTCCCACAACTGGCTGTTGCTGATCGTATCCGGTCAACGGACATTGAGTATTTTACGGAAACAATTGTTTGTAAATACTTGTACCTATCTGATGATGGCTGTGGTAATTCTTCAAGCTTCAGCTCCGTGCAATAGGACCGTCTTGACGTTCGTCTTGACGATTGTGAGTTTGGTATTCGTTGACAGTTGTTTTGAGTTCCATATGCTTTTCAACTGTACGAATGTTCTCCTTGCATTCCCAATCCTTGCATTTACGTTTACATCAGATCCTCCACGTTCATCAATGAT